AGAACTTAATGGACTTATAACTGAACCCACATTAGGCTCGACGGCCTTCATAGCATCATACGCATCATCAGAATAATCGAGTTTCAGTGAGGTCTGCAGATCCATATATGCCTCCTCCCAATGTCCAAGAGCCCTTTGGAAGTTTCCAAGTTTACACAGCAACAGAAACTCACTTATGGGCAAAACCGCGCCACTTGTAAGCGGCAGCAGAATCAGGGTTTAGAGAAATAGCCTTATCGCAATCACGAATAGCAGATGCGGGTTTCTTCATTTTAAAATAGCAACTATGGTATGGTAAAGCATGTGCTGAAGAGAGCCTTACGCAGCTCTTTTTGCAAAAGAAACAGCAATTCGGGGATTTGCCAAGATAGACTCGGTAAAGAGAGTTACAGCGCTTTCAAAATCACCATCTGAGAACTTTGCCTGGGCCTCAGAACGCTTCTCTTCAGCTTTTTCAATCATTTCTTCCGTTACTTCAGCTGTGTCGTCCCCCATGGGTTGAGGTTCATCTGGCTCCTCCTCGATAACTCCTGATGTATCAAATTCTTCATAAGAACAGGACGTAAACAAGAAATGTAAATCATTACCGAGCTCAGACTCCTCGCTCTCTGGACCTTCTGAGGATTCCGGTTCTTCTACAGGGCCCTTCTGGTGCTGTTGCGGCAAATCATGAGACGTCTTGGGTGGCGGAATATGAGCTCCAAGACTACAGGAATAAAAAGGACCTGAAGAAATACCTCTCTAAATATTCCTTCAAGAACCGGAGCTCAGGAGTGTGCAAAAGATCCGGATCTCCCTTAAGGATCCCAACAAATCGCTCTGCATCCCTTAAAAGCTGTGGAGGCAGCATTCCAACAAGAACACTAACGAACTCTTTACGTTCAAATTCAAGGTCAACAAGCGAATTGAGTAGATTATTTTTTTGCTACGACTGCAAAAGGTGAACCGGAGTAATTATCCAAAATAAACGTTAAAGCATTAAGTCTGAATTGTATGTGCGGATATTGAAATCTTTTAAAGTTTCCAATATGCGTATGTACAACGGAAATAAAAAACGAAAACCTCCACCAATCAAACTGGGAGCTTTCTACTAAATAGCACTAACATCGATTCCGGCTGTTGTTGTTGTGCGTCATCTCGTGAAATGCAATGGCCTTTTCATGCTATGAAAGTGGCAACTTGTAACACGCTTTATACGATGGTGGGGTAGGGTTACTAGACTGAGGTTTGGTTCCGCGCAGTTGACAACTAGTATGGCAATGCTGCTAAAGATGATGGCTGCTTCCTTAGGCTTTGTGGTGTGTAAAG